TTAAATATTTCCATGATATATGTCGTAAAAGATAGCACGAATTAAATTTCTATCTGACGTGTTTAACTTTCACAAGCTTTTATATTAATTTGAAAGTATATTTGTATAATTTGAAAAAAAAAACGGAACTATATTCAGTTCCAGATGATTGCTTAAAACTTACATTGCAATGGTCTTTTCTTAACTTGCAACGGAGTATACTTACGAATATTAAAACTGCAGATTCTCCACACAAACCACAATATAATATTTCACATATTTTCTACCACTTTTTACTTTTGTGAAAAAACCAACTATTTAGATTGTCATATTTCATTTATACGACAAAGGCACAGAGGTGAATCAGAACAATGGAAAAAATTTTATACTTGCTCCATGAAAACAATTTTTCATTTAGCAGAAAATTTTTTGAAAGATTTTTACGTGAAAAAACTGCTTGCACAATTTATGAGCTCTTGCTTGATGCATAGCCATAGTAGTGCTCTGGAACTAGGCACCTGGGCCGCAAAACGGTCCCTATCCCATCCGTAATGAATTTGTTTTAACACTGTGAGGTCCGTGTGGTTGCTAAATCTTGCTAGAAGCTTTATTGCTTTATTGAAATTACATACATTTGCAGGCTTGTTTGCTCAATTTAGGCTTATAAACCTTTGTCTAGTAGAAGGACATGTAGAACAATTTAGAGAAAGAAATCATCCCATTCCCTGAAAGGAAGATTACCCCTGAACTCCACCCCCTTCCGACTAACCGCAATTTTCTTTAAAATTTTCCAAAACCTGGACTTTTGGTCACTTTTTTTTTCGGTTTTCATGTAAATAAAGTTTGGAATGAGAGTTTTTTTTCCTCTTTTGTTTATATTTGTTCTAAATAACAAAAACAGTCCCCCTTCCCCCTTGTGCTTAATTTTCAAAAATCTTAATTTTCAAGGGCATTTCTCCCTTTACATTTATTGCTGTTTTATTTTTATTTTTTTGAATTTTTATGCAAGCAAGACTTATGTTTTCTTAAACAACTAAAACTCAGCAATCAATTAATTTCTTTAAGTATATGACTCTCTTAATATTTCAAATCCAAGGAAAAGTTTATGTGGAGCGAAAATAATAATCTAACAGAGTAAAAACAGTGAGTCTAACAGAATAACAAATCCATACCTCAGGGGGTACTGAATTAGAGACTGATATTTCTCTGGTTCAGGTCAAAATTACGATCTGTGGATGAATGAATGGATTTATGAATGAGTCCGCCCTTTAAAAAGGGCTGTGACGTATGTGAGGCCGAAGACGTATGTGAGGCCATAGATGGCGCCACTGAAAAACACGAAACGGACTCTTTGCCTTAAATTCGCCTAGGTTATCACCAAGCAGGCTTGCTGGTATTTGGCAAGTGGCTTTAGAAACAACAACCGCGTCTATCATTAATTCCGTATTCATGGAATATGTAAAAATTAAAAGATTTCAGGCATATTTCTTTATCTTTATGCATTTATTTGTACAATGATTTAAGCTTTAATGCCTCGATCGCTTCATAGCAGAGAGCCACATATTGATATTTATTGTTACCAACCTAATTATTAATATTAGAAATGAATATATTTTGCACAAAACTTGTTGAATAAAACTATTTGTATGTTTCAATTTGTCTTTACTTTATTACGTCACAATTTTCCTACAAATAAACTTTAAATAAGCTTCTCAATATTATGAGTCATATTTCAAATTTTGATGACTTAAAAATTAAAAGAAAAAGAACATTAAATTTTAAAGGAGAAATGTATTTAAATGTTAGGATTTTAGGAGGTATTGCACTCAGGGTTAGGGAGAATTTATTTTTGTTATTTAGAACAAATATAAAATTGGGAGAAAAATTCACATTCCTAACTTCATTTGTATGAAAAATAAAATAAGGAGGCCAAAGATCATGGTTTTTAAAAAAAATTTAAGAAAAATTATGATTAAGAGGATAATTTAAGAAGTAAACCCTCTTCTCTCAGGAAAATAAATTAATGAAGGGAAAGGGAAAACTCACGTGATTGTTGTTAGAAGCCTAAATTGAGTAAAAATTCACGAAGTTCGGCAAAAAATCAAAAATGGAAAAGACCTTAAAAATTACAATTTTCAGGGTAGTTGAGAAAAAGTTATAGTTATTGGGGGAAGGGGGAGTTTTTCCCACAAGGGGTGAAAATAATTTTTTTATATATTAGATCCGAAAAGAGAATCTTTTATAAATTTCAAATCTCTTTTAATTATTCTTTATTTTTTCCCCTGCTGAGTAATGAGACGTCATTCCTATGCTATAGTCATTATTTTTATACTTATTATTTTATACTCATTTCTATACTCATCTGTACACTCTTTCTATACTCATAATTTCTATACTCATATTTATTACCTTGCATACGCATTGAAGGTATTAAATTTGTGGGAAATTTTCTATCGTTAAGTTAGTTGAAAACGGATTTTGCAAAGAAAAAACATATTTCCCGGAGAAAAAAAAATTTTGGTTTCAAAATGCGGATTCATATTCAGCACTCCAAAAAACGTAAATTTACTGAAAAATATAAAAATTCCGCCAATTTCATTAGGTAAAGTCCTCTCTGTATTTTTCTTGGAAAGTTCGTGGTGGTTCATTAGTGGTGGATCAGAACGTTTAATGTTCATTTTCGCAAAAATTAAGAGTGAATAGCCATCTGCTGCATATTCAGGATTATTAAGTTTTGACAAATCAATAACTTGGAAAATATGTTTTCTCTGAGAGTTATTACAGAATGAAGATGCGTGGGAAAAACTGTTCCAGTTCGTCTTGAAATTCTTTTTTTTTTTTTCCCCAGAATCATTTTGTCTCATAAGCAAAAATTTTGTAATCTATTTAATAAAAATAAAATTTTTATGAAATTATTTTTCATCACACTTTATTTCATAAAACTCATTTGCTTTTTTTTTGGAAAAAAAAACATAGTGTTTATGAAATTATAAAAAAATGAAAGAACATAGTTTTGATTTTTATTTATTAAAAATCTAGAACATATTTTTTCTTTTTAAAAAAGTGTAGTTTATTTTTTAAAAATGAATTTTCGGTTTTTTTTTTTTAAATAATTTCTTTTGTTAAAACTTTTTAACATGTTTGTAATTAAAAGTGGTATGTAAGCAAAATTCTACAATTTCATTTCTTATCAAAATTCTTTTTTTTTAAAAAAAAAACTTTGTAAAATAGTGCTTGTGCTTATATTTTTACGATATGCGCATTCCGAAATCACATTTCAAAAATCAAATTGGAAAAAGTTATGATGCTTCGAGCACTCACAAGATGCCATTGTCAAGACCCATCAAGACATGAAATGATGAAAACAAAACAGATTTGTAAAAGAAAAAAAGAAAAAAAGAAAAAGAAAACGACAAAATGTTGCTAGTGAAAAATGGAAAAAAGTAAAGCTGAAACAAATCAAGAAAAAGAAACGATGGCCAAGGGCGATGACGGTGGCAGAAAGAGGTAAACCTTAGCAAGATTCAATTCGGAGCAGAATGAAGGGTGAGAGAGGAACTAATAACAGTAAGAGAATCCACATTCATGTGAATGTAATAAGATTCCAGAACATCAAGTTGAGCTGATGTAACAGAGGTTGAAAGAATTTTGACTTAATCGAAGATAAATTTATACACAAGTTCTTAACAATATACGACAATAGATGATTTATCGAAAAACCTTGACATAATATTAAGTTCTAGAATCATCCTCATTAAAGAGTACAAAAAATCATGCACGTTGGTGGTCGCAAATCCATATTTCAGTGAAGAAAAAACACTACTGATACCTAACCACTAAGGAGAACAGGACATAAAATATCAAAATCTGTTTGATTGCTGGAGGAAATGGAGAAGAGCTGAAAATCGATAAGTGACCATGGAAGATTTGTAAGGCAATTAAATTGGTTTTGATGATTTTTATCCCATTTTTTCATCTTCGGATTTCGATAGCGTTTCTGCTTCTTTCTGACTTGAACATTTGCAACCCATGTCCTGCGTAATATTTTTATATTTATATTTTGAAAATACATTCTGAAATTACATATTAATTGCTGTGATTACGGGCCACTCAGTTCATCGGAAAGCTCCTATTAGGATCATGTTATACCCAAATAAAAAGTTCTATGCTAAAAGAGATTTGAATTTTTTTTAAAAATTCAAATACTACAACACTTAACAGCTGATAGTAAACAGAGGATAAAAGTAAAATGTAATTCTAATTTACACTAGATTGCCTGGGGAAGTCATTTTGACTGCTTTTAATTTCAATTAGAAAAACAATGATGTATATAATGACACAATTTCTTAGAATTTTACGGACCTTTAATTTTTTTATTGTTAATATTTACTAATAACTTGTTATATAACAGTAAATAATATAAAAAATATTAAAAATTAATTTTAAACAAATTTCTTTACACATTATTTTTTCTTTTACAATCCAGTCATTTTTGACTGCTTTTGGGCAATATAGGTATATACTAAGTTTCAGTCTTTCTAATGTTAAAAATCTATTATTTTCATTTAAAAGTACTGGAGTTTAGAAATTTCATAAAAAAAACTCAAATATATTTTAATGTATTTTTGGTTACTAGATTAACGAAAGTTCTGCATAAATGATATTGTCCCTTTTTTTACAGCTGATAAAATTATTTTTGTTCATAGGATCTTTCTGAATGTGTAAAGGAAAAAATTAATTAAAAAAACTTAATAACTTGTATCATACTCAAACACAACATTATTATTTTAATATGACAATCATATGAACAAATAATTCTTTAAAGCAGTTATACTTTTAAATCGTTTTAAAAACATAAAGAAAATATTTTTTTTAAAAATTACTTTATAGATCTTTTCAAGAAGGGGAGAAACAAAAAGAATTAGTAATTCAAATACACGTTTCTTTTTTCTTAAAAAAAAAAAAAAAATTAAACGGGAAAAATATTTCGATTGATTTTAAAAATAAACAATATCACTCACCGCCGCAATACAGCCAATGAGAACGCTTGTTTCCGTCATCTGACAAATTAAAATACGTCAAAATTTGAGAGAAAATTATTTTCTGTCATGAGTGAGGTCTAAATTTGAAACGGAGGCTATGGATTCAGATTCCGGATAAGTGAAACACACTCAGGTAAAACATTCAGCGGCGGCATTGCTTCAGATGTTTCGTCGCCAATTTCGCCAAAAAAGTATTTAACTCTGTTTAACGGTAAAACGTACTCCTTTAATACTTGCTATACCCTCTCGATTTGATAGTCGATAAAATTTGAAGTTTAACACTTTACAAAATTGTAAACGAAACGTTCTGACAATATATATTTTGCAATACAAAGTATATAAAAAACATTTGCATTATTTATTAAAATGAATTTTAAAGTGTCCAGTATTGAAACCATCTACAATTTTATTACAGAACATAATGTCGTTTTCTGGTTTAAAGGTACTGTTTAAATTATAACTAATTTATGTAATCCTAAAATACGGTTTAAAAAAATCGTAAGAAATGCAATAATATTGATTTTAATTAAATGAATTATTAATATTTAAAAATATACATTACATGAAACTATAATATTTCAAATGTATATTAATCCTTTCTAGACGGGTTAATTATTATATTTTTAAGTAAGAACATGCTGTTAATATGTAAATCGCAAAAAAATGAACGATTACTTGGATTTGAACAATAAATGAACTGTACTTGAAAAAATATTAACTTAGAAATAGAGAATCATTTTCTTTTTTATGTTAGTTTTCAGATAAAGTCAATCGTGAGCTAATAAAATAAAGATCTCGGAAAAAATAAATTTTTCTGCAACAATGGAGATAAATAGAACTCGGGAACAATTTTTTTCCCTGTTGCATGAGATTTTGGAAGGAATTTTATATATTCTTGCGTCGTTGAAATCAAATCTACAATAGGTTACTCTCTACAAGCTACAGTTTTTAAGCAATTTAATTATCTGTTCTTAACCAGAATTTTTTTTTTTTAAATTTCACTCTAGTTAATAGTAATTGCCCCACTTGTTTGCTGCGTAGGGAGTGGTATAAAGAAGGTAATAATACCTTTCAATTAATGATTCGATACGCTAAGATCATAAATTTTTGGTCTTAAGTGTTATTTTCAAAGGAACAGTCAACTGTATAGGTAACTACGCAAACCTATACGTTCCTTATAAACGTGCGCATAAACTTAAAATATCATTTTGGAAAAAAAATCAGTATCCTTCAAAACAAAACTAATTTTAGATTTGAAATCCCTACACCTGAATTAAGTAAGATCAAGAGCTTGTACAAACGCAACAAAAAATTTGTTCCTCAGTGTAATCATTACTTAAAACAAAAAGAGGGGGAAAAAAGGGAAAAAAGAGCTTAAAATTGCAATAACTTTCAGACAAATTAAGTGTTAGGAAAAGATGGGTGAAGTTTGTAAACAAAAATGACTCTTTTAGTATTTAAAATTTCAATTCTGTAGTTGCATTATTGCCAGCATAGTATTTTTTCCTACAAGTTTAACTATTATTAATTTTAACGAACTAATTATTGAATGTTAAATTTTTTATTCTATCGTTCCCTGTGCATTCTATACACCTTCCTAATTTCAATATTCTAAATCTAATTTTCTCTTTATTCTTGCATATTCTCTTTTGTTTTTAATGTACTATTTTAAATTTCGATTCTATAATACGTAAAGAGTAATTCTTTTATACTTTTATTTACTATTGTCTATTTTAATTCTTTTATATATTCAAAGCTCAGCCCCGTCCCGCCCCCTAGTGGAGGCATCCGGGGTAAATTCTTTTATATAATAAATTCTACGATAAACAGAGAAAAAATCTTGATAAATAACGCTTTTCCATATATTTTCTTCCATTAGTTTAAAATGAGTAATGGCGCCTTACATCTATATAAATACATATTAAAATCAATATTGAAAGAAATATAAGAACAACAGAAATGATTAGAAATTAAAATATTTAAAATAAATCGTAATTTACTTCCCAAAATTTATTTTTTTCATCATTAACAAAAGACATCCTTAACGAATCAACATCTAAGCATTTCATATAACTAAACTAAAACAAATGGCCAAACGATTATAAGGAACTTTATAAATACAATTGGGTATAATATGAAAAAAACACAACTACTTCGATTTAGTAGGAACAGCATATGACGCAATGCTAAACGAATGGAATTNAAAATCATAAAATAAATGTACAAACTCAGTATCTAATCGAGTTCTATTTTATTAACAGAAAATTACTTTTATGGGGGTCGATGGAGATTTCGAAAAATTATGTAGGGGTCGATGATCAAAAAAGTTTGGCAACCCCTGCTCTACACGCTACAGTTTTTAAGCAATTTAATTATCTGTTCTTAACCAGATTTTTTTTTTAAATTTCACTCAAGTGAATAGTAATTGCTCCCACTTGTTTGTTACGTAGGGAATGGTATAAAGAAGGCAATAATATCTTTCGGTTTATGACGCGTTACACTAAGATTAAAAAAAAAATTAACTTAGGAATAGAGAATGTGTGACTCAATATGGAGAAATAAATGAGAAATAAATTTACCTGTTAATAATCTGTGACAATAACCTTATAATGTATAACAGCTCATACTGGAAACGATTTTCGTCTCTCTTTAGTCACTATATTTTTCAAAAAATTTTTATTTAATTTTTATGATTTATATCTGAAGAAACCTAATCACTTTCCCTTATTTTAATCATTTTCTTTTTTATGTTAGTTTTCAGATAAAATCAACACGAACTAATAAAAGAAAGATCTTGGGAAAGAAAAATTTTTCTACAACAATGGAGATAAATAGAACTAGGGAACAACTTTTTTCCCTGTTGCATGAGATTTTGGAACGAATTATATATATTCTTGCGTCGTTGATATCAAATCTACAATAAGTTTCTCTCTACAAGTTACAATTTTAATGCAATTTAATTATCTGTTCTAAACCAGATTTTTTTTTTTTAAAATTTCACTTTAGTGAAGAGTAATTGCCTCCACTTGCTTGCTAAGTAGGGAGTGGTATAAAGAAGGCAATAATACCTTTCAGTTAATGATGCGATACGCTAAGATCATAAATTTTTTGTCTTAAGTGTTATTTTCAAAGGAACAGTCAACTATATATGTATATACACAAACCTATTCGTTCCTTATAAACGTGTACGGTGAGACAAGTAATAATCTAAACTTAAAATATCATTTTGGGAAAAAAAAATCAGTATCCTTCAAAATAAAACAAATTCCAGATTTGAAATCCCTACACCTGAATTAAGTAAGATCAAGAGCTTGTACAAACACAACAAAAAAAAATTTCATTAGTGTAATCATTATTTAAAACAAAAAAAAAAGGGGGGAAAAAGCGCTTAAAATTGCAATAACTTTCAGACAAATTGAAGTGTTAGGAAAAGGTTGGGTTAAGTTTGTAAACAAAAATGACCCTTTTAGTATTTAAAATTTTAACTCTGTAGTTGCATTATTGCCATCATAGTATTTTTTCTTACAAGTGTAACTATTATCAATTTCAACGAACTAATTATTGAATGTTAAATTTTTTTATTCTATCGTTCTCCCTGTGCATTCTATACACCTTCCTAATTTCAATATTCTAAGTCTAATTTTCTCTTTATTCTTGCATACTCTCTTTTGTTTTTAATGTACTATTTTAAATTTCGATTCTATAATACGTAAAGAGTATTTCTTTTATACTTTTATTTACTACTGACTATTTCTTATCTTTTATATAATAAATTCTACGATAAACAGAGAAAAAATCTTGATAAAATAACGCTTTTCCGTATTTATTCTTCCATTAGTTTAAAATGAGTAATGGCGCCTTACATCTATATAAATACATACTAAAATCAACATTGAAAGAAATGTAAGAACAACAGAAATGATTAGAAGTTAAAATATTTAAAATAAATCGTAATTGACTTCCCAAAATTTATTTTCTTCATCATTAGCAAAAGACATCCTTAACGAATCAACATCTAAGCATTTCATATAACTAAAATAAAACAAATGACCAAACGATTATAAGGAATTTTACAAATACAATTAAAAAATAATAAATAAAAACTATAAACTCACCAATTCATCAATTGGGTATAATATGAAAAAAACACAACTACTTCGATTTAGTAGGAACAACATATGACGCAATGCTAAACGAATGGAATTTAGTTGTTGTTTATTTAGTTATTGTTATTAGTAGTTGTTGTTATTTGTTTTAGTTGTTGTTGTTTATTTAGTTGTATTTAGTTTCAATAACTTTTCTTTATAATGCAATAAAATCTGGCGAGCAGCTATTTAAACGATCGAACACTTCGTTTGTTTATTTGTGGCTTGAAGTTAGGCTCGCAGAAAATGCCGTTCATGGGTTAAATTTAGTAGGAACAACACAACCTGTGACGTAGGCTATATTATACCCAATTGAACTAGGAGTTAAGTTCTTTGCCGGAGGGTGGTGTTAAAACCATTTGGGCCAGACTGTTATACAGCATCGATAAATAAACATATCAGCTTTCATGTGTTCTAAAATTAGAGTGTGAAAATTTATATTTCTCAATGTCAATCATAAATTTGCGTAATCTCATTCTTCCAAACTGTTTTTCAATGTCATGAAGCAGACGATTTTCGAGAAAAAAAAAACAAATACGTAAATTAACACAAGTTATTTAAAATTAAAGAAATATTATGCTTAACCGTCACCGGAAATTTTAAACATAAATAGGCTTATTCTTATTCGTCAAAAGGGCATTTTAATTTCATGACGTGTAAATTTATTAAAATCGAACTATAAAAATTTTTGTTTCCAGTTAATAATAATAATGATTGCTTTTTGACATTTTTTAAACAAAAAGTTTTAATGCTTTAACACTATATTAACGTCCTTTAAAAAATAGTATAAAATCTCTTAAAATAATCCAAATTTAATAGCTAGAGGTCAGAGTTGGCCGTTGATTACAGTAATCGATTACAACTGTAATTGATTACAGATAATTACAGCTATGTAATCAATTACTTGTAATCACGATTACAAGTAATCAATTACTTGTAATCGTGATTACAACTTTCAAAAAATTTTGATTACAGCTGTAATCATGATTACAATTTTGATTACAGTAATCAATTACTTGTAATC